CAACACTGTCCCTTCTTAACCTTGGGTTCCTGTCACCAGCTTTCCTGTCCCCTCCTGCCTTCTAGTCCTTGTCCCTGGACTGCTGTGCCTCATTAGCCCCCACTGGTTTTATAGGGCTGTCCAATCCCCAGCTGAATGGGGAACCTCGGGAGTGACTTCACCACTGAGCTAAAAGGGTGTCCGGGGGCCACACTCTTGGGGTTTCTCCAGTCTCTGTCAGGCCAGTAAATCTGGTCTTTTTTGTGTGTTAGAATTTTGCTTTACATCGTTCTCCAGCTCTGTCCAGGACCCTCTGTTGTGATTCCAGTCAGAGCAGTCAGTGGTGGTAGCCGGGTACCAGCTAGCTGTACTGGACTCAGTAGCAGCCATACTCTTAACCACTGTGCCACCAGGGCTGCATCTACAAGGTTAGGTTTTTAGTGTTTATTTCTTTGGATGCATACATACATACGGTGATTCTTAAGTTTTAGAGGGTTTTAGGCAGAATCCTCTTAATTCTGATTAAAACCATGGACCCTTTCCCCAGAAAATAATACAGGCACATACACACAAATCTTATATATAATTTCAGAGGGCTTAGGGACCCTCTCAAGGCCATTTGTGGAACACCCCTCCCAAGATTAAGAGTCTCTAAGGACAGAATGGTGAAAGCATTAAGAATAAGGATGCTGGAAAATGAAAGCCCAGTTCTGTCACTTACTAGCTATGTGATCTTTGCCTTTACAGTTTTCTGATCTAAAGTGGATTAGATAATAATAAAGGCACATAATGCACTTAGCACAGTGCCTGACACATAAGTACTTAGTAGATACTATCATTGTGTTGTTGTTGCTGTCCTTATAACAACCTCCTCAGAATCAATATAAATTAAAACTAGATGGAGCTAAATAGTTGGAGGCCTTTGAAAGAAAATAAATATTGAGACTTGAACTAGGAAACTGGATCTACCAAGAAGCAGAGTTTTAGGCACAATTTGTTGATGCTGCACCTTTTCTCGATTGTTAACATTTAAATTTTAAAATATTAAAAATGTTTTTAAAATGACTTAATATTTTTAAATTGAGCTTTTGGAAACATGCTACTTATTTTTATTGTATAATTTGCTTACATTTCCTTATTAACAAAGATTTGTATTTGGAATTATAAAGAATACTTCACTGTCTTGCTCTCTTGAGTTTTCTTGGAGATTATAGATGTTTAACACCTATTCTCTTGCTTTCTTCCCTATTTTTATTGTCATAATCTTTGTGTTCTTTTTACAACTTGCTTTTATCCACTATTTAATATATTTCAGATATATTTCACTGTCCATATATAGATTTAACTAATATTTTTATTATGAAAGTAATGCCTTTTATTTAAAAAAAAATGCAAGCAGTATAGAAGTGCATTAAGTAAAACCTAAAATTCTCATTCCCCAACCCTACCTCTCCCACCCCCCAGAAGGAATCATATTTTTGTTTTATTTTGTTTTAATTCAGGCACTGCTACCCTGAAACTTGCTTTTTTAACTTAACAGTAAGACATGGATAGCTTTTTGACTCAATACTTACAGCTCTACATCATTTTTTAAATAGTTGGATAGTATTTTGTATTTATTTATTTAACCAGTTTCCTGCTGATAGATTAGTATTATGTGTATAGATAGTTTTTTAAATGTACATGATTGTATTACATTAACTCTACTTAAGTTGTTTTGCTGTTGTTTTTTAATTTAGTATACCATGGGCATTTTCATATGTCAGTGAATATTAATCTTAAGTCAGTATTAACAATTTTGTTCTTTTCTCATATATCATTCTTATATTTTACAGAAGATTTGTCTACCAGTATCTCTGTATCTAATTGTCAGATCCAGGAGAATGTGGTGAGTAACAGTTATAGCTAAAGTATGCAAATTGAGTGGTAAAATTAAGGAAAATGAACTGTGGAAATCTTTTTTAGAAAAATAGGTTCATAGCCCAAAGCGGTAAAGTTTGCATAAAGACATTATGCTAGATTTTGTGGGTGATAACTTAGAATTTTCCCTAAGGAGTTCTGCTTTAAAAGGGAACTAAGGTGGATTTTTTTTAATTATAAAAATAAAATCCACGTTTTCATAAGTGACATCAGAATATTACAGAGTACTACACTAGTTGAAAGAGAAGGGAGAGGTTATGTCTTTCTGGGTCAGCAGGGAACGCTTCCTAAAGGAAGTGAGACCTGAGTTATGCCTGGAAGTATAGGAAGGATGTTTGACAGATGAGATGAGGGAGTGAGGGGGCAACATTCCATGCAGGTAAAGGGAACAGGGTGAGCAAATAGAGGAAGCAGGAACTGCAAGACTTCTAAGGAATAGTGAATAGATTAAATTTGGCTAATATAGTGGATTGATTATAACAAGAGTTGGCAAACTTTTTTTGTAAAGGGCCAGATAATATTCTAGGCATTGCAGCCGTATGGTCTCTGTCACACCTTCTCAACTCAGCCATTGTAGTAAAAAAAGCAGACAAAGACAATATGCAAATACATGAGTGTGGCTGTATTCCATTAAAACTTCATGTACGGACACTGAAATTTGAATTTCATGTAATTTTCATGTATCACAAAATTTTTTTGTTATTTTAATTTTCCCATCCATTAAAAAATTTAAAAACCATTCTTAGATCATGGGCTGTTAAAAAAAAAAAAAAAGCACAGGGTGGATTTGATAGCAGGCCATAGTTTTGCCGACCCTTGGATTAGAAGGAAAAAAAGGCTAGGCAAAGAAGTCAGAAAATTATTCATTAACTATATGTAAGTCTCTTTGATAAAAATCTTTTTTCTGCTTCTACTTGGGGCATCCAGCTGTTGTATTTCTGTGACATATAAGTGTTGATGGGATTTCTAAGATTGTGATAAAGACTGGATATCCAGTAGTGTTATAGGAGATAGAAGGTTTCAAGGAGATACCATCTGTGTGCCCTGTCCTAGTGGTAGGTAGGATAGATACTAGATTCTTGGAGTGAGAAGGGGATACCGAAAACACGAGAGCACAGGCTTTGGAGGAGGCCACAGAAACTTAAGGACATATCCACTCATGGCTGAGGGGGGAAAAATGTTCAGAAGTGTTCTTTGTTAAGGAACTTTTTATAGCAGTTACTATATACAGTACGTGTCCCCTTATCTAATTGGATTAGAATCAAATTTGGTTAAACAAAAAATTGTTTAAAGTTGGGAAGTATTTAAAAATCATTCTTACAAACCTTAAAAATTTCATTATAACTTAAAACATATACACACATCATTTGCTTTTTGTCACAGGGTTTTGTCTTGTAAGTGTGGGTCTGCTGAGTGTAGTTCTACTTTGTCTTTTTTGCATCAACCACACCCATGTGCATTGTTTATGTTTTCCAATTTTTGTTTCTTTTAAGTAGAACCAAGGGTATTTGTGAAACATTCTGAGAAGAGAATCTTAGATTTTTACTTCCCCAATCTTTTATGTTTATTTTGCTCACAAGTAATTTAACAGCAATTGTTTTTAGTGCCTCATTTTTGTAGTATTTCCAAAACAACTTAGTTTTCATAGAAATCTCACATTTCATTGACTTATATATTGTTTATATTTAATTATTTATAGTATTTAATTAGACCATATAATTGTTATAACAAGTACATTTGACGTAAATGTGCTTGGGAACAAATTCATGTGTAAGAGGCACTCATTGGATGAGCCCTACAAGAGTAGAGCCTACTGCCACAGGCATTTGGTATGCTCCTGTAGACATCAGTTAGCATATGCTTTTCAGAGGGAATGGAGAGTACAGGTTACTCTGGTGAGTTGATAGAGAAAGGATGTTTAAGATAGCCTCTACTGTAGTTTATTTGACCCTCATACGGTGTCATGAATTGTTTAATCTTTATTATAGATTTATTTTTCTGTTTCCCTTCTAAGTCTCTTAAGTACTGGTTCTGTTCTTTACAAATTAGCTGCCTATCACAGAGCTCTGTATACAATTGGAGCACAGTAAATATTGACGATAGTCATAAAGTCATAAGCATTTTTAAAATCAGAAGGGACTTAAGAGAGATCTAGGCCAATACCTTTTCACAAAAGAGATTAAGTCCCCAGGAATTTAAGTAGCTTTCTTAAGATTACCTAACTTAAACAGGAATTAAGAAATTAGGGTTTGTGGAGTTATTAGTATATGCCAGGCACTGGACTTGGCACTTTGCATACATCCTCATTTAATTAATTCAAAAATCCAGTGATACAGATGTTTTTATAGCCACTTTACAAATGAGGAAATTGAAGCCTGGAAAACTAAATGTATTCAATTGAGTGTCTACCATGAGACCGGCACTGGGAAGATGCTAACAAGATAGATGTAGTCCCTGACTTCATGGAGACTAGTATGTCATGGAAGAAGGATATTAAGCAAGCAGTACAAGGGTGATAAATGTTCTGAAGAAGTACAGCATGTTCAAGAAGCATTTAACAAAAAATATAACCTTTTCTGGGTATTTCAGAAGGCCCTCTGAACCTGAAGAATGAGGAGGACTTGAAGAGAGATCTCTTTCTGACCCCAAACTCCGTTGTAGAACCCAGGTTTCAAAGATGTTGACCAAATGTAAATGATTATCCATAATGGAACAGAGTACTAGAACTAGAAAAATTTCCCTAAACAACAAACGCCATTTACCCTATGAAGTAGAGTGTAGTAGGTAGCTATATAATGTTAATGTTGAAGTCTGATAGGCGTAAGTTCAAATCGCAGGTCTGTCATTTATTAGCTGGGCCAAGGTATTTAGTTTCTCTAAGCCTTGAATGTCCTCATCCTTGAAATGGTGGTAATTAATTATGCCAATCTAATAGGATTGTTTTAAAGATTATAGGAAATAATGTAATAATACAATAGCTAATATTCATGGAGTACTTGATGTTTTCTAGACACATTTTATGCATTATCTCATTTCATCCCCACTGAGTCCCTGGGCAGCCCAGATGGTTAAGTGCTCACTACTAACTGAAAGATTGTTGGTGCAAGTCCACCCTGAGCACCATCAAGACAGGCCTAGCAATCTGCTTCCAAAGGTCACAGCCTTGAAAACCCTATGGAATGCAGTTCTGCTCTGCACACGTGAGGTCGCCATGATTCAGAATTGTCAAATAATTTACCAAGTAGTCTTTTTCTCTAAGATTAATTTGTTTTTGTTTAACAACAACAGCAACTGTATTATTATTATCTCTGGAGTCTGTGTGTCTCAAGACAATGCTTTTAACCTTATTTACCCCTGCATATATATATCCCCAGTATACTGCCTTATTCTAGTATCTAGCACATAGGAAGCACTAAGTAAATAGTAGTTACAAGCACAAAATAGTTTTTGTGTACACTGAAAGGCCTATGTGCATACCCGAACACAAGAGAGGCCTTGATTGAAGAGGTCTGGAGAGGATTGGAGAATGCCCTCCGTGAATGTTCTGACAGCAACAGCCATCACCATCAAAAACGGAAGTGACAGAGGAACAGAAAGAAAAGAGGAAGGAATGGAGGGAGGGGGAGAAGACAGGGGAGCAAAAAGAGGAAGAGATTGAGGAGTGGATCTGATTTACAGACTTTCTCTCACTTTTCCTCAGACTTTCAAAGTCAACCTAATTCCAAAAATAGGAACTTAAGTTTTTTTTGTTTTTTTTTTTAAATCAAAGATACCAAGTATCTCCAAAGATTAAGTAAGTAAAACTTTGTTCTTAATTTTTTCATGTTAATTTACTTTTTTAAAGTCACTACGTGATAGATTTTATTTTAATTAAAACCTTTTTTTTCTAAGGTGGGCTTACAGAATGCATTATACTTGCACATTAAAAGTCATAGTATAAAAATTGGGCTTAACCGTTTCTAAAACATAATATAAAAATCCTATATTCCATAAAATGGAGCCCTGGTAGTGCAGTGATTAAGCATTAGACTGCTAACCAAAAAAGGTCAGCAGTTCAAATCCACCAGCCGCTCCTTGGAAACCCTACGGGGCAGTTCTGTTCTGTCCTATAGGGTCACTATGAGTCAGAATCAACTTGACGGCAACAGGTTTGGTTTGGTTTATTTTCTTTTATTCCATAAAAGATTTTTTTACTTCATGAAAATTAGTTATCTCTTACATAGAAACAAAATTGTACAAAAGTATTTGAATGAATAGAGTCAGGAGATATTAACATTGTTTTATAGAGATAAAGAATACATTCTATTTATTTATTGTTTACTTTTTCTTGAATAGGACATCAGTACCGTTTACCAGATCTTTGCAGATGAGGTGCTTGGTTCAGGCCAGTTTGGCATTGTTTATGGAGGTAAGTGACTATAGCCTTTTGCTCACTGTATATACTATAGACAAACTGTGAAATTTAAAAACATCTGCCAAATATTACATCTTTATCTCACAGCTTATCAAGTAGCCTTTTTGTCTGAGGTTAATTTGTTTTCTTTTTAGCTAAGCTCTTTTCATTACAAACTGATCATTCCCAATTTCAACTGCAAACCTTAAAAAGTAACAGAGAAAGAATCAGAAAATTCTTTTTACAATAGTCCGTTATCTCTTCTTGCCGCTCACATATAGATGTTTGTGTGGGGAAAAACTGATTTGACGTTTATGTGGGCTGTATGAGTTTGTTCTTTGAAGTATATTCCCTACTGGTTTTCCAACACCATCTGTCTGCTGTTGGCACGTTATAACAGGTCTGAAGACCTGAACTTGTATCCAGCTCTGCGTCTTAAAACCTGTATGGTATTAGAGAAGTCATTTAACCTCACTGTGCCTCAGAATGTTCATTTGTTAAATACAGGGCTTCAAACCGGTTCAGTCATGACCGACGAAGCAAAACCAGAACAGACCTGAATTTTTAAAATTTGGATGATCCAGAACCATAACTGGAATGGGAAAAATTACATATCAAAACACTGGAAGGGGAAACTTGGAAGAGGCATAGTGAGCCCTTTCAGGAGCCTGATGCATGCAGTTGGATTATTGCCAGGAATGAGGAAAGCAACACACATTCAAAGCAGTGTGGTCAGCCACCATCTTTGAGTAGGACACTACTGTTTCCAACTCTGCCGACGGGCAAGAGATTTGGTTACTTTGCAACATGTATGCTGGCCTTGTTTTCTAAGAAAGGGATTAAATGTCTCTCAGGGCTTTGACCCATAATTTTTCAGTCCGATTATGGTTCCAATTCACCCAAATTTTAAAATTCAAGTCTGTTCCGGTGTCAGTTCCTTGGCCATGATTGAACCGGAAAGAACCAGTTCGAAGCCCTAGTTAAATGGAACCAATAAAACCTTCCCTTTGTAGCTCACAGGGTTGTTGAGATCAGTGAAACATAATTCATATAAAAGTACTTTATAAGCTATGATGCAAGATACAGAAGAAATGTTAAATCTTTTGTCAATACAGTTACAGTTGTCTCCTAGTTGGCCTTCCTGCCTCCATTCTTGTCCTCTTCCACACCACTCTTAGAGTGAATCTTTAAAAAAAAAAAAAAAAAACCCTCAAATCTGATTGCTGTTACCTCACTTAGCACCCTTAAGTGGATCACCATTGCCTAGACTGATGGTCAGTCTTCTTAGCAGGGCATGCAGAGCTGCCTGTGATTCATCCTCGCATCTCTATTCTTCTGTCAAATTGGTCCTCTCTCTTTGCTTTCAGTCTTCCAATTCTGCTTACATGCCCCCATACCTTTGCCTCTGCTCCTTCTCTACCCCTTTGTTCCTCTAGTGAAAACTTATTCGTACTTCAAAACTTAACTAAAGGGCTTCCTCTATGCAGATTTTCTTATTCCTACCTCTTCATTAAATATAACTGACCATTCCTCCTTGGTGCCCCTGCTACGTGCAGCATACATGCTTCTATCATGGTATCTATAATACTCTTTGAGTTTGCATGATTGTCTCCCTGCTGAACTAGAATTGTATTTGAGGGTAAATAGAGAGAGGTCTGGTTTTTCTTTGTATTTCTAGCACCTAACATTGTATCTGACACATAGCAGTCGTTCAGATAATGTGTTGATTTTGTGTGCATTTACAACATTTATGGTTTGCAACTTCAAATTTATTCATTTTAAGAATACTGGAATCGTTCCATTGCAGGGGCAGAGAACTGTCCGAGGTGGCTTTGGCTTCTCACCAAATTTGCACATATTTGTTTCTAGTCTTTTCAAGTAGTCAGACTTTTATGATCAGTACCCTTGACACAGGTGTGAGCTCTTTCCAAATAAATAGTTATGTAGAGAAATAGCAAGTCATACACCTTCCTGTCACTTATCAACTATCTCATTATCTGACATTTTGCATTTATGACAATAGTAAAAAGTCTACTATCTGACTATTTTGCACATTAACCGTATACATCTGGCAGTAACAAATGCCAAGGTGTAAGGCAAGAATAACGCTGGCTTTGATGGTTAACGTTATGTGTCATCTTGGCTGGGCCATGATTTTCAGTGGTTTAGCAGTTATGTAATGACATTAACTTGGCAGTTATATAATGATGTAACTTGATAATTAGATAACGATGTAACTTGGCAATTAGATAATGATGTAACTTAGCAGTTGTGTAGTGATGCGGTACGTGAACAAGGAACTGCCAGAAATTCAAGCCGGGTTAAGAGGACATGGAACAAGGGATATCACTGCTGATGTCAGATGGCTCTTGGCTGAAAGCAGAGAATACCAGAAAGATGTTTACCTGTGTTTTATTGACTATGCAAAGGCACTCAACTGGGTGGGTCATAACAAATTGTGGAAAACATTGAAAAGAGCAGCGATTCAAGAACACATAATTGTGCCCATGCAGAACCTGTACATAGACCAAAAGGCAGTCATTTCAACAGAACAAGGGGATACTGCATGGTTTAAAGTCAGGAAAGGTGCGTCAGGGTTGTATCCTTTCACCATACTTATTCAATCTGTAGGCTGAGCAGATAATCCAAGAAGCTGGACTGTATGAAAGACGACACAGCATTAGGATTGGTGGAAGACTTATTAACATCCTATGATATGACACAACCTTGCTTGCTGAAAGTGAAGAGTTCTTGAAGCACTTACTGATGAAGATCAAAGACTACAGCCTTCAGACTGGATATCACCTCAACATAAAGAAAACAAAAATCCTTACAACTGGACCAGTAGGAAACATCAATATTGAAGTGGTCAAGGATTTCACGTTACTTGGATCCACAATCAACGCCCATAGAGGCAGCAGTCAGGAAATCAAACAACATATTGCATTGGTCACATCTGCCGCAAAAGACCTCTTTAAAGTGTTAAAAAAGAAAGATGTTACTTTGAGGACTAAGGTGCACCTGACCCAAGCCATGGTATTTTCAGTCACCTCATATGCATATGAAAGATGAACTAGAAATAAGGAAGACTGAAGAAGAATTTATGCCTTTGAATTATGGTGTTGGCGAAGAATATTGAACATACCGTGGACTGCCAAAAGAACAAGTAAGTCTGTCTTGGAAGAAGTACAGCCAGAGTGTTCCTTGGAAGAGAGGATGGCAAGACTTTGTCTCATGTACTTTAGAGATGTTATCAGGAGGGAGATCTGGAGAACGACATCATGCTTGGTAGAGTAGAGGGTCAGCAAAGAAGAGGAAAACACTTGACGAGATGGATTGATACAGTGGCTGCAACAGTGGGCTCAAACATATCAACGATTGTGAGGATGGCACAGGACTGGGCAGTGTTTCGTTCTATTGTATGTAGCGTCGCTGTGAGTTTGAATGGCACCTAACAACAACAGTCATCGTCCATTTTGTGATCTGATGTGGTCACCCTCCATTTTTGCCTAACACCAATTTCACATAAGGACCTGGTCTTTGAAACCTAACCATGTCGATAAGTGAGGAGAGGGGGTATATACAGGTTAAAAAGACAACACCAGAAATGCCTGCCATTTTCACTGCTTTATCCATAGCATCTAAAACAATGTCTGGCACATAATAGGTACAAGATAACTAATTAGTTAGAGGAAATGGCTATTTATAGCAGACTTCCACATTTATATCTAGATTCTAAAATATATGAGGTTGGGGATATAATAGGTGGTTAAATCACTCCATGCAGACTTAAGTCTAGAATAAAATTAATTCGTTAGTATATAATGTTTCCATCTTGACATAGTCTCTAAAGAGGAGGTCAGGATGGTTAACCATTGTTTTTTTGACAAGGTAGGTTAATTTTCAGCCAACAAGTTCACTGAAATTTCCTGCCCTTTCAGATAATGAAATAGCCTTAATTAGGGGCAGATAATATAGCCGGAAAACATAAATTTCTTTCACTCTTAAAGTTGAATGAAAGAGTGTTCGGGAAGAACAAAAGTGATTTTTAAAAAGAAAAATAGGAGTAAGTACATATAAATTGCAGTCTGCAGACAACTTCCTAGTAAAGATTTTGGTATTTTTGTGAGCTGTCAGTTTGCTGCTGCTGCTGCTTCTTTCTCTTTTCTTTTTCTTTTAATAGGAAAGCATAGAAAGACTGGAAGGGATGTGGCTATTAAAGTAATTGATAAGATGAGATTCCCCACAAAACAGGAAAGTCAACTCCGTAATGAAGTGGCTATTTTACAGGTAAAAAAATAAATAAATAATGCTTTGTGTTGGTTTTAATTTATGAGTTTTTAAATCAGAGTTTGTTTAGAGTGCTCATAATAAGATTTGTTTTTTGTTTTGCTTTGTTTTCGTGTTACAACTTTTTGGCTCAGTAAAAGGGTATAAGCATCTGAATTAACTACTTCTTAACTCTGAAAAGAAAAAAGGCAATATTAGATTTTAGTAATCTAAGAGTTATAAGGAAGGACAGCCTAACACATTTTCATAATTAAACTCTTCAAAAAAATAAGAGAGCAAAATTCCATTCTGAATTCATCACTACAGTAGCTCAAAATATTTTGGTACTTCTACTACCACAGTTCATTAGGAGGTCATTGTTGTAGCCATCCCAATTCTCACAGTTGGTGGGCTGGATTATTATAGGGGATTACTATAAAAATTAAAACTGCCTAAAATTGTTTATATTTTCACAGTGACATTTTGTTATTAATTCAGAACTCTGAAGATTTAATTTGTTAATGGTTCAGTTTATTAATATATATTTTAAAGATAACTTAAATCCCATGAAATGATAAATTATGTGTTTTTATTTTCATCTAACATACTCACCTCTTTTGGGAGATATTGAGAAGAGTAAAATGCAGCTTGATCCTTGGATCATTTTTCTGAATATCCTATAAATTGTAATATGCACATGTCTATTAATTCATTGTGTAGCTTTTGCATAGCATTTAAGAAATCATGGTGATGTGGTAGTTAATGCTCTCAGAGTCCTATTAGCTTGTGAGTGAAGTTTAAGAAGACATAGCCTACTGAGCTTATGCTTCCTTTGAGGAGAAGGTAAGAAACTTAGAAACAAATAACGAATTTTACATTTATTACATTATTGGTCACTAGTCGTAACATTTGTCTCGCTTCTTCTTCAGAGGAATGATAATCAAAAGAGTGTGTTGGCCAAGTACCTGGGGTCTCTTGAAGGCTGTCTCTCCTATAAAGCTACCTTTAAATTAAATAGAATATTAATAAAATTCAGACTCTGTATTATAGTATAAATATATTCTTAGATATCATTTTTCATACCTAATTTTGGAATGTCTTTCATTGTCCAACCAAAAATAAAAATTAAGGATATATTCCTAAGGCTGATTTCTCCTTGATACTTTGCTCACAAACATAGCTCTGAACTAATCATGGAGGCTTTTTTCCCTCCAGTGTCATCAGCTTTGGGGCATAATAACTACATTTAGGAACTTCCAGAAATGTACAATATGAAAGCTTTATTATTATATACTTTCTGGTATTTTCATCACTATTGCCTTAGTGGGAATAAAATTAAATGATAGTAGTATGTCTCCAAATATACTATTTAATCCTAAATATAATACAACACTATCTTTATAGATTCTTCTCAAATTGTTTATATAAAATATTTACGTTTTTATATTTAGTGAATCCCTTACTATATGCCAGAAACTATACGTAAGTATTTTTTCTTTTATTGTAATGAGGAAAATGAGGCTCAGAGGAATTGAGTAACATTCTCAATGTCACCCAACAGGAAGATGGCAGATTCAGAGTGTGAATCTAAATCTGCCTCCAAACCCACTTGTTCTTTCTGCTCTACCACACGGTTTATTTAAATATCTAAATGCCACCATCCCCACTCCCTGCCTCCAGCTATATCATCTTTACTTTTCCATCTTTGTCCTGAGTGCTTCATATAGGCCTCTGCAAACAAGCCTAAAAAGCTGGCTGAAACCCTATTTGATCCTGGTGCTCCGGTGGCATCCTTGGTTTTTCTTATCCACATCCACATCTTTGTGAAAAAAAGATGGAGTAAAGACTGACCAGATTATTGAGACTGCAACTTAGGCCTTTCCAGTGGCAGGAAGGAAAATTGTAGAATCATTGATTTAGAAAGGACCTTACCTTGTCACCAGGAGCATCACGCTTCTCTCTCGAGCAGTTGGTGACTGGCTCAGTAGAAATCAGCACATTCCTTTTTTGGATGCCTGTGACTATTCTTTATTAAGCTGAACCAGAACCTGTCTTTACAGAGGTTCTGCCGTGGACACCACAGTCAGTGAATTGAATCTTTTTCCCAAATGATTGTCACACTGACATCCTTGCTATTCCTCAGGCACGCCAGATGCGTTCCCATCCCAAGGCCTTTGCTTTAGCTGTTTCCTCTGCCTGGAATGCTTCCCTCTACCCCCCAATCTCTCACCCTCCCAGCCCCGTACCCCTGTATCTGCATGGCGTATTCTCTTATCTCCTTCGAGATTTTGCCCAAATGGCGTTTCCTCAATGAGCTTCCCCCATCCTATTCAATACCAAACCCTCCCTCCTCACCCCTGCACTACCTTTACCCAACTGTATTTTCTCTTTTCTCCATAGCACTTATTGTCTTCTGACATAGTAGGTAATTTACTAACTTATTTCTTGCCTGTTGTTTATGTCCCCTGCTAGAATAAGCTCCATGAGACCAGTGATCTTTTTTATTCATTGATGAATCCGTACTGCCTGCATAGTATTAGGCACATAGCAAATGCTCAATTAGTATTTACTGAGTAAATATACTTATGGAAAGCTATCTGCAACATCTTGTTAAATTTTTTTAAAGGTTTAGAATGATTCCATTTGTTTATTTTAAAAATACATTTAATGTGTGCATTGTATATGACTGTTCATGTTATGGATTATCACCTTCATCATCTGCTAACACGGCCTCACCTGAGGCATGTGCTGTGGCACAAGGAGGAGTGGGAGATTTTTATTTTTATGGAATTCTGTTTTGAGGTGTTTTGTTTTACAGTAAACATATATTACTTTTATAGTTAAAAAACTTTAAATGCCTTGCTGAGACAGAGATATACTAATGTAAAATATTTCTCGTTGCCTAAAGAAGGTAGTACAGGAGTGGGGGAGCAGGTGTGGAGCTACCTGTGTAAATAGGAAAACTTAACCAAGTTGGTTATCAGTAACGTAAAAGGGAAACTTCTAGTTTGAACATGGTGGCTTAAATTTTTCATTTTCCCTTTCTCCTCTTGGAAATTACCCAAAAGCTGCAAGAAAAGTGAAAAACAGAAAAGCACACTCTAGCATTAATAAAAATAGAAGAGAGGTGAACTGGTGACCTGCAAAGTAGGTAGAAGTTTTTCTACAAACAGTGGCAATGGAGCAGGGGTGTATGCAGGAAGAGGCGCCACCGTATCAGCTGTTCTCAGCTGGCTCTGTGTGAGATCTACAGCTGGACAGCCTCTCTAGGCTCCTTCACCAAACAAATGAAAGCCAGAGGGGTCATGAGCTGACAAGATTTAATTCAAAGGAAAACACATGAAGTGAAATGAAGAAGAGCACTTTAACAGGGTAAGAGTGTAAATCCCAGTACACCAAATAACAGCATCCGATTTATAAACGGAAACTGTAGAAGACAGAAGCAGAAACAGACAAGCACATTAGTAGTCTCTGACAGATCAAGTAGACAAAATAATTAAGAACATAGAAAGCCTAAAAGCATAAGGTAGATTAACTGCTTTGTACTGGTATCTGTACGGTAAACACAGAGATCAAGGAATGCCTCATTAATTTTATAAAAAGCAGCAGTATAAATAGTATTCTTTTATCACAATGTAATCAAAACTAGAAATAAATTACAAAACCACAAAACAAAAGCTCCCACCACCTGGAAACTTTAAAAATTTATTTTAAACTATTCTTGAATCGAAGAGCAAAGTCAAAATTTCAGAGTATTTAGAAAATAATCATGAAAATCCTGTATATCAGAACATTTGGACTGTTGCTCAGAGAAAACATTATAGCCTTAAATACTAAGCTTGAAAGAATGACAGTAAATTATTAAGAATCCAATTCAAGTTAGAGAAAGAACAATAAACCTAAGGAAAGCAGAAGAAAGGGATTAATAAAAGTAAATTAATAAATTTAATACAGAAAATACAACTAATAATAAATCTAAAAGCTAATTCTTTAGGGAGAGAGAGTAACATTAAATCAGTAGTGAACTTAATAAAAAAAAATAAGTAAATTTTCTTGGGGAAAATAGCCACAAATGTATAAAAAATAAAAAAGAATCTAAAGATACTACCTTGCTCAACTCTATCAGATACATTTGTAACCTGGAAAAAAATGAATAATTTCCTGTAAAAATGTAACTTAACAAAAATAGACTCCAGAAGAAATAGGAAATTTAAACAGAGAAAGTCGTTAAGGAGAAGAATAACATTATAGTATACTTTCATTTTTGTATGTGCACAACATGTGCTTTTAAAGAAAGATGAGGGAAGAAAGAAACTTAAGACATAGATAACTACAGCATAGGAGACAGCCATATTTTACTTCCTACTCATACAGTTGGTAACAGTTAGGATGCTCTGAATCTTCCACTCCTTGCTGCCATTGTCACAGCCCACCACTGTGGTACATAGCCCTGCTGATATTTAACTTTCATTTATCTACTATAAAATTTTGTCACTTTTTTAATGCTACCAGAACACCTCGTCATTAAATTGTCTTAAAATGATTGGTAAACAATCATTTATTTTGCACTTGGTGTTTGTTCATTTTCTAACCTTTATTGAAAACATCTACCATGGCTCAGACACTGGCCTAAGATGACTAAGATACAGTCTCTCTCAGGCACCTTATTATTAGGCTACAGTATAACTATAGTACAATGGGATAAGTACTGCTGTATATATACAGTGTGGTGGAAACTATTGTGGTAGTCCAGAAGAGAGATGATGGGAGCTGAAATTAAGCTAGTTGCAGTGGAAGTTAAGAGATGATTTTGGATTTAAAAAACTTAGAGATGAAACTCAACATCATGTTGGCAAGAAAAAAAAAATTTTTGCTCTCAACGTAATTAGGTACCCACATTAATGAAAAAAGCATAAGAAAAATATATTTGTTAATAAGGAATAAAAATATTCTAATCACATAGGCCAAAAGAGCATATTTAAGATTGAACAGGGAGAATGAAGATTTTGAAATCCAGGCAAAGGGATTTCCTGTCCAGAAATAAAGACTCATTGAAGATTTTTGAGCAGGACTGACATGTCAGATTTGTCTTTGAGGAAGGATTTTCTACCAGTGGAATGTAAGACGGATTGCTTTTTTTTATAAGCAGAAACACTATCGCATTTATCTTTGTATATCCACAAGCCTTATAACCTACTAGTGCTCAAGAAACATTGAATGATGGAGGTAAAAGATTCTGCGCCTAAAAGAGGCTTGAAGACCAAATTGAGGTATAATACGAGAATTGAGTCTTGAGTAAATAACTACTTTAGGTACAAAACCGTCGCTTGAGCAAAGGCCTTCATAAATACAGCCCTGAACAGCCGAAGTTCTATGTAATTGCTTTAAAATTGATTTGGCAATTGGAGTCTATTTAAGGCCAGTCTATTTGCATAAAATTAGAGCACTGTCAGCAGATTAAAGAGATAAAAAAGGAAGAAAAAGAAGCAGTAATGGAAAGGGAGCAGTTGTACAATCAATTTGGAAAGACATTCTTTCCCTCAGTGCATCCACTCCCCAGTACACAACTTAAAACATCAGACTCTGATCCTTTTATTGCTTGTAATTTTTATTTTATTTTGTTTGCTTTCATTACTTTTTCTAAGCTGTTGTTCTTTCTGTGCCATGTATTCCATGCAGTCAGTTGTAGCACAGTTGTAGCAGTGTTAGATACTTGCATAGTAAAGCTGTTTTTCTTCCTGAGTCAGTCATACAAATATCCTGCTACTGTCTTCAGAATTTGCACCATCCTGGGATTGTAAACCTGGAATGTATGTTTGAAACCCCAGAAAGAGTCTTCGTAGTAATGGAAAAGCTGCACGGAGATATGTTGGAAATGATTCTATCTAGTGAGAAAAGTCGGCTTCCGGAACGAATTACTAAATTCATGGTCACACAGGTATTTTAACTCTTTTTTGAAACTACAGAATAAAAACTAAAATAATTAAATAGAAGTGCTTTTACATATTGGGATCTGGTGGGAATTATTAACCTTGAAGAACAAAATAACACTTTTAGTTAAGTCTTGATGAACTATAGTGAACTTTTCAAACTATTACACTGTTCAAGGAGCCAGGTTGGGGTTTAGCTACAGTTGGTCCAGGCGTTGAAAAAAATCTGTTTCCTTCAATAACAGATACTTGTTGCTTTGAGGAATCTACATTTTAAGAATATTGTGCACTGTGATCTAAAGCCAGAAAACGTACTGCTCGCATCAGCAGAGCCATTTCCTCAGGTGAGATACTGCCTTTTGAAGAATCATTTTAAACATCTGTCTGACAACATTTATGAAGTGCGCTCATAATGAAAAATATTGTACTAAGTAGTGTAGGTTTAAAATGCACACCATCTTATAAAATTATTAGCCTGTAAAAGTTCCCATAGTCTTAAATCCACACTTTCTACTATAATGCATTACTGCATTAATACCTTGAATAATTTGAATTTCTATTTTATTAATTATATTGTTTATTTTCATTAAGAATTTTTTAGACTGAACCAGATCTCAAGGAATAACTCTTGCACATAGACTCTTTGCGATTCACCTCTCCCCATGACTTGGTGATGAAAGTGGGGAGAATAGACAACCTTGGTTTATGCTTGGTGCTCAGGACAAATTCCCTATTAAATAAAACAAACTGAAGGGTAGCCTTGAAATGGGAGATGCTAGATTTTGGTTGAGGCAGGCAGCCAACTTCTTTTCCTCTTTAGAGCTCTATATTTCAAACATTTTCACCAACACCTACGTAAGAAATACGTTTATCATCACCACCAGCGCTCACGCACATACATTGTGTGGGGTGTGTGTGTATGTGTGTGTGTTTTTGTCCTGCCTAGGTGTGATGCACTCTGGGTTCTTTTTTTCCTTCAGTTGATTTTTAATTTTTAAAAACTGTTGATCTGATTCACTAAATTGATTGCAAAACCTGCTAAATGGATCCTGGCCCAAAGTTTGAAACAGCAGACCTGAGGAGTATATTTTGATCGTGGTACATGTGACTGTTTTTCATGATTATCATTGGTGAATCCTCCAGTCAGAATATCTGCTTCCAAACTATTGTTCATGTACAGTTGAAACATGTATAATTAGATAAATGGCTAGAATAAGGACAACAAATGACCCTTTCTTCTAAATACAACTCAAATTATCTTCCAAAGAAAAAGATGTATTTAAAAAAAAATTATTAAACTTTTATTTTTAAAGTAGTAATCATATTCTTTCTTTATAATGTCTGTTGTTAAAAGTGATTCCCTGTCATTGTGAGATCAGAAAGGGTCCACGGGTGCAGTTAAATAAATGCTTCCATGTATTACCTCATTTGATCTTAAAAGTAGTAGAGGCAGAGGACGTACACCTTACAGCTAAGACTGTAACTCCAACTTTCCAACTCCCACTTCAGTTATCCACATTGTTCCCTTGAGGAACAAAGAGAAAATAGTGTTATTTACTTGATACTTGTTTTTGATCAAGTGCTAGCCATGGCCACACTTCTTTATTCAGTTGCCAAACTGCCAGGTTATCTTCACTTTATCAAGATGTTAGCTAGCATCTGGCATTTAACCAGAAAAAGAGTTTGTTCACATTTCTTCATCGTCATTTCTACTCATCAAAGACTCAAATAGAGAAATAGACAAATTCAGTAATGATAGAGCAAGTATCATTCATAAAAACATGGGTCAGAAATAGCAAGCATTGCTTAAATATGCCTTCACCTCTTTGTTCTCCAGCCACTAACTTGTACCACTGTTTTGTATAGGCCAAATCCTTTCTTTCTCAATTTATCTTAATGCTTTTTCTATAGACACTTTGTGAGTCAGGGCGTTTCCTCTAGAAAGTACTTGGCATTTGCTGGTTCAGCATGGATGCAGTCACTAATCACCAAAATCTGAAACTCTACTAGGAGATCAAAAGCAAGATAAGTGTCCCGAACTCTGCAAAGCTCATCACACTGTCACAACTCTTTCCTTGAGAGGAAGACGTGGTGGTGACTGGCCACCGTCACAGAGAACTTTTTTTGAATCTAAACGTGTACCTAGCAATAATTTGTTCCACAGTCATAGAAACTGTTACTCCTTTGAGCAATCTCCAGCATTACTCTTCTACTGTCCAGATTAATAATTATCCTTAATACACCTCAATTTCATTCTCTTGCCAATTTATAGTGTCTTTGGGAAGAAATTCTAGTATTCAGCTAAATAAAGGACAAGTTTTTAAATATTGTAACTTATATTTCATCCAGCAAACATTTATTGAGTTCCTTTGTGTGTCCAGGCCCCGTGAGGCCATGGAGGATTCAGAAATGAAACACCTAATTCCTGCTCACAGACAATAGAATAGCAATCTCCTTATGAGCCAAATGTTAGAGACCAGCACCCTCCATTTCATCCAAAAAAAAAAACTTTAAACACTTGTAATGCCAGTCTGGTATTTAGCATTCTGGAAGCTAGCATTCGAGAGTTTTTTTGAAGCAAGCACTAGGAAAACTCTTCGTAGTATGTTAGTAATGGATCACAAGGTTACAAACGTACTGCCTTTTGGGAAAGAGGTATTTTCCAATCTCCGTATCTACAATTGTTTGGCATTCAAAAATCAAGACAGTTGGCAACTGTGTTGAAATGATGATTTTAAAATTTAATGTTTATATACATTTATACACTTAATATCCTCTTCTGGTTTCCAGGTGAAGCTGTGTGACTTTGGTTTTGCCCGCATCATTGGTGAGAAGTCCTTCAGGAGGTCTGTGGTGGGAACACCAGCATACTTGGCACCGGAAGTTCTTAGAAGCAAAGGTTACAACCGCTCTCTGGACATGTGGTCCGTGGGAGTCATTGTCTACGTGAGCCTCAGTGGCACGTTTCCTTTTAATGAAGATGAAGATATAAATGACCAAATCCAAAATGCTGCATTTATGTACCCACCAAATCCATGGAGAGAAATTTCTGGTGAAGGTAAAAAAATTGTTTTGGCTCTGTGCCTTTTAGTCTGAAAATGCTCTTTGTGATCCCAGATCAGCCTGTCTCTTTTTACTCTGTCCAGATTCACTGAGTCGCTGATTTCTGAGCACTCTGCCTCTTAAAACGTCTCTTCTCTTTCCTTCTTACAGTTTCCAGCATAGCACTAATCCAGGCCCCAAACACCTCACTTTGAGACTACTAAAACATCTTTTTAACTGTCCTGTTAGACTCTTTTCTGGTTCTTCCCAGTCCCCACTGCCATCCATCTTTAGGGAACACTACTTTTGTCTTATTCTGCTCCCAAACATTTTGGCTTCCCTTTGGCCACATTGCATCTGTCTGTCTCTGTGACCTGCCCAAGCTTATTGTCTAGCTGTATCTCCCACCACTCCCTGAAACCTCTCTTGTACTCTCCTCTGAACTCTTTCCTGCATTTTGCTTAGGCCTTTCTCCTGCCTACAATCCTTCCTCCTCTCTGTTGAAATCCTTCAAAACCTTCAAGAACCCTTTAATTTGTGGCCCATCTTTTTAGGTTTCCCTGACTACCCTTCCTTTAAACTGTATAAACTCTATCTATGCCAGTAGTTGGGCATTTTTTTCATAAGTATTGAATCTTTTTTTTTTGTAATTATTTTTCTTATGTTCACAACTAAATTATAAGCTCCATGCCTGGGAACCTGTACCTCAGGTTCTTTATACCTAGAATGAGCTTTTGTATTTCAGACACCCTCCAGTTAGTTTCCATATCCCCTGTACCCCTCTAATGGGAAGCTTCATAATTTGTTCTTGCTGCCTGGTGAAGACTTTTGTGGCAACTGTGCTCCTGTACCCATCTAGAAAAATTTGGTTGGCCTTCTTCAGTTTAGCGATACTGTTGAGAGAACATCACTTAAAACTTTATGTAATAGTCCCACAGAATTTAATAGAACCACCACTAGGGAATATCCCCACCTGGCTTTAGCCAGCCCTTGGAACAGGTGGTTTCCAAAATTAATAGTCCGTTAAACTGAGTAAAGTTTGAGGAATAACACGTAAAGACGATAGCAGGCTTGCGGGTAATGAGAGCTGACTGAGGAAGTCCCTGTATAGGGTTCTTTGATGTTACCACAGTCACCTTAGAGCTCTTGGGGCAGCGTGGTCTTACAGGCCTTTTACACCAGAATCACTTGGTGAGTTTATTGAAAGAAGAAAAACCCCTGACCATATCCCACAGATGCAGATTCAGCAGTTGGAATGGGACCCAAGAATGTGCATTTTAAATAAACACTCCCAAGTACTTCTGATGCACATGGCAGTCACAGTTGAAGGAACAAAACACAGAGAAATTAATCATTAGGGTGCTTATGGAAAATCTTTGCTAGCTTGGTAGTACCCAGAAGAGACATAGGACTCATATGGTATAAATCTTTCATTCAGCCTATCCCTGGGTTTAGGCCCTACAGAGATACCAGTATTTCAAATGTATCATTACATAAGGCTAGTCAGTATGTAGTTATCTAGTGGCCTTGGTTGGGAAGTTGATCCATTTCTCCAAATAACTGCATAATTTGTGCCAGTCTCACCACAAACACTAGAACACCCTGCAGAGTGTGAACTTCTGGTGACAGTTATCACCTCAGTCCAGCTACATTTGTAGAAGCAAGGCAATGACTGGGACTTTTTTTTTTTTACCTTTTTAAATCAACTTTGTTGAGGTATAAATGACAAAACAATTAGAAATGTACTCATTTAGTGTATAGTTGGATGTTTTGTTTTTTTAGTTGTGCATTACATGTATGTTTACAGAGCAAATTAGATTCCCATTGAATAGTTTGTACATAAAGTGTTTCATGGCCTTGGCTTCATTCCCCATTTCCTTTCATCGCGATTTTCTACCCCTTCCTGCCTTCTCATCTTTGCATTTGGGCAAATGTTACCGTTTTGATCTCGTATACTGAGGAGCACATTCCTCGGGTGTTACTGTTTATTTTATGGGCTTGTCTATTGTTTGGCTGGAAGGTGGTCTCCAGAAATGGCTTCAGTTCCAGGTCAGAAGGGTGTCTTAGGGCTATAGTCTCAGGGGTTCCTCCACTGTCTGTCAGACCAGTAAGTCTGGTCTTTTTTGTGAATTTTTCTGTTCTACATTTTTCTCCCACTCTGTCTGGGACCCTCTATTTGATCCCAGTGTGACTGCTCTCCTAGACCAAGCCAGGGGCGAGAGCACAACATGGGGGTGGGGGGGTTGGGGGTGAGTCATCCTGGAATCAGAGGGTCTGTTTTATTCATCTTGAAATAATAATAGTTAACACGTATTTAACACGGCTAAGCATAGTTTTAAGGCCTTTACATATAATAAACTGATTTAGTCCTCACAACTTCATATTACAGATGAGAAAACTGAGGCATGGTGTAGTTGAGTAACTAACCTAACATCACATGGATAGTTAAGTGGCAGAACTAGAACTCAACCCAGGCAGTCTGGCTCCAGAATCCATTCTTTTAACCTGCTCTATACTGCCTCCTTGATACAATGAAAACTTGACAGGTACACTGTGAATTTAATAAGCATTTATGGATCACTACATGTTGACTTCAAGGCCAAGTCCTTGAGAAGCACTTAGATGTCTATGGATTGAACTACTTTCCAGGTAAAGTCATAGGTTTGGAGTATCGCATACACCCAAATTCATGTATCTAATTTTGTCTTTTCCCTTAGCAATTGATTTGATAAACAACCTACTTCAGGTGAAGATGAGAAAACGTTATAGTGTTGACAAATCTCTTAGTCATCCCTGGCTACAGGTAAAAAAGAAAATATATATATCTCTTTGGCAAGTTCTCCTTTGAGCAGTTTGGTTTGATTTGTCTTACCTATAAAAACCACTCTACGATCAACAAATTCTACACATTTCTTAGGATAATGAAAATACTCTCAGTGATTAATCTGTACTATGGCAGAGCCTCTGGAAGCTTTACAGTTCACCATTCAAATGAGGTATTGATGGACAGTCAAACTCCCATGAACTGCAAGTGATAATGTAGCTTTTTATAGGGTCTTATGTGTTCATTTCACCTAAGATGAGCATGACATATTGTCATACATTTTAAAGTGTCCACTCAAACCCAAAACCAAACCCATTGCTGTCAGGTTGATTCCAACTCAGAGCGACCCTATGGAATGGAGTAGAACTGCCCGTTCAGGGTTTCAAGGCTGTAATCTTTACGGAAGCACCTTTCTCCCACAGAGTGGCTGGTGGGTTCAAACTGCTGACCTTTCAGTTAGCAGCCAAGCGCTTAACCACTGTGCCACCAGGACTCCTTAAATGTCCCCTGGAAGGTTCATATTTGCATTGAAGAGCTCAGAAATACCATTTAAAATACGTTTCGCTTAATTCCTCCCTAAAAGTTATTGCATAAATATATTAAGAGGTCTCCCCAAACTTCAGAATAAAGGGAGAAGCTTTAGAACTATTTGAAAGTAAGGAGTAAAATTAACTTCAAAACAAATGCGATCATAGTCCCACCGATTATTAAATTATCCTGATAATTGATCCCAAGTGCTTTCCCGTTTTGAGGAGGAAGGTTTAGACCACTCACAGGATAGAACAAAATGGTTTAGTGATTATTATCAACCACCTCAGAAGCCTGAGGCAATTTATTTTTAATTTCATAAACTAGATACTTTCTTCATTAGAGACTGAAGTTGAAAAACATTGTTAATTAAACTACTACAAATGAAACTCATTGTATAGCAAGTACTTATGAGTAGGGGTTATCAATTATTTGACTAAGGTGCTGAGCAAAGAAAAAGGTTGACAGTATTTTATATTTCTTTTATGGTTCATAGTCACTTCATTTTTTCCTAGGACTATCAGACTTGGCTTGATCTTCGAGAATTTGAAACTCGCATTGGAGAGCGTTACATTACACATGAAAGTGATGATGCCCGCTGGGAAATATATGCATACACACACAACCTTGTATACCCAAAGCACTTCATTATGGCTCCCAATCCAGATGATATGGAAGAAGATCCTTAAGTATCAAAGAGCTAACTTCAATAAGGAAGGATTTCATTTTACGAACTGACACTTGGCTGCACAACTGTTGTTCTTTGTAGGTTGTCGTCTGCGAGGATGCAAAGACACAAGGAAGTATGATAAGGAATCGGCAACACCAATACTGTAGCGCATAGTGAGTAGGTAGAGGAGGGGAAACAGCAATAAAAACTCATAATAGAATCAAGACAAAGCTTTTTATAAACTTTTATAACATAAGCAATAACTTTTTTCCCCTAATTCTTCACTTGGTACAATAGTGGCACTTAATTTATCTTCCCTTTCCTGTTCTTACATTATTTAAAAGGAAAAAGGAAAAAAAAGGCAAGCCAGGGTCCAGTTATTGCATACGAAGAGTTGTGAGGTCGAATACTGTAGGGTTTGCATTTAAGAGATCACTGAGAGGCTCCAGTGTTACAAGGACTTCAAACATTTGTGTAACTGAGCGCAAAGGCATTGAGCAGCTTAGATACCTAGAAAAGGGAGAGCTGGGCTGTTTTACCCTTTTTGTTTTGTTTTGAGATCAATCAAGATTCCAAAACAGTGATTCTTAACTTTTTGTGGAGTTACAACTCTCAATATGCTCTACAAACAAAAATTAAATTGTCACCTTTTCAGAGTATTGTTAACACACTATCAGATAATGTGGGATGACTGATGTTACCAAGCTAGCACTGGGAACTGCTGGTCTAAGTGCTGAGCTTCAGTATGTCTTTCCAGAGCTCAGCTCCGCTGCTGCTTACGTTCCCACTGACGCCTCTGGGATGCCACAGTTGGGTTCCACCATTCAGTGAGTACAGAGCTGAAATTTAATTATACAATTTATCCTTACACTGGGTTGATTAATATGAGGGGAAAAGTTAAATACATATGGAAAACAAGGCCAGTGCAGGGTCAGTTAATGCTGTAGGAAAGAAGAGCAAACTGTATCCTTTTATTCTTCACCTACTGCAGACTTCACAGATACCTGGAAGCATAGGGGAAAGGAGGGTGGAGCAGGAAAGTTTATAAGAATGGGGCTATATTGTCAGCAGAGGAAATGAAAGAAGGAAATCAGCATTTTTTACATTTCAGCTCCAGTAGTCAGGTAAAGAAATTTTTTTTACTACTCTGAAATAATACTCAACTTATGAGGCTACACTTTTTCATAACTCTTTAAAGTGGTTACTAATAGCTTTTCCCTCCAAAAAAGTTTAAGATCTGGGACCATCCATTTGTAAGAAATCTAGTAGCTTTTTTCCCCATCATTCTTGAGTAATCATTGTAAACCTTTTTTAACTCCAAGAAGTATAATGTAAAAAGAACAAAATATTTGGAGTCAGAAAATCTGGGTTTAAGTCTTGGCTCCATTATTTAGACAATCTATCTGAGCCTTGAGCACCTCAGTCTGTAAAATGAAGATAATAATCCTTGCCCCTACCTTCCTCACAGGATGGTTGTGAAGATCAAGTATGTATGAATGTATTCAATAAACTGAAAACTATGAAAGTGTTGACTGTCACTGCCCACTGAATTTGAGGTAATAAAGGAGAAGAATGTTCCTGTATAGACTAGACTAGAGAGCCCTCTAGGGATCACTAAAGCTCCTCCCTTATGTACAGCTAAAAGTATCCTTGAGAAAATGATAGCAGACACTTCAGTGCAGTGCTGCTATATTCTCAGGTCTTTACATGTTTGAAACTCATTACCCTCACAACAACCGTGAGGTAAGTACATTATGAATCCATCTTGCAGATGAGGAAATTGAGGCACAGAGAAATTAAGGAACTGCTTGCCAAAGGTCACAGAGTTAATATATGAATTTGAACCCCAGCAGTGTGGCTGCAGAGTCCGTCTTAACCCTCTTAACCATTATGCTGTACTGCCTACACATACATGGCATAGCATCTCTCAGTAGTTTGTTCCCATTTAGGAGTTTTAAAAATTAACTTTGAAAAAAAGGTTTTAGAAGTGTATTTTCCATGTGATAAAGGGTGACACCTCCAAAGTTAATCTCTTTATATCAACGTTCATAGAATGGAATAATTCCAGGCCACCTGGCACCCTACTGTGGTTTTACTGCGTAAGGTAAAAATTAACTGGAATGATGTCATTTGCTATACTTAAATAATCAAACTTTACAAGCCATGAAATTAATTGCACTCTTTTTTATGTTGTTGAATGCCTAAGTTTTCTAAAAAAATTTGTAAAGTCACTGTCAGATAATTTGGAGTAATTACTCCAGATACTGTATAACCTGCATAACCTTTTGTCTTGAGGTCATTTGTATAAGAAATATTTGTTTGCTAGAAACATTTGATAATGTACAAAGTCGTCTATAATGACATTGTTCAGTACATTTTTATATTTTTTGTTACATCCCACTTTTTGTAAATATCCTCAAAGAAACTTGATAATAAAATGTATTTCCGTATCACCATCTACTTTTCCATGTGAAAACCTGAGCCTATGTCCAGTAGAAGTATCCAAAGAAAATTTTATTACCCAGGCCTCGGGAACAGAACTATTTTGGAAATCGTATTTGTAAATGGAACTAACGCTATATTTAAGAATGCTTTTTTTAAAAAATTTGCCTAAAATAAAAAAACAACTCAGTATTATGATTTTATACTAAATATAAGGTAATTGAGGTCTCATTTCTTGGAATGGAAGTTTTTAATAATTATAACTACAAATTTTTCAGGAAGTATCACTAAAAATCCAACTATCACAACTACTAGAAGACTTAGAAAAGTTAAATATCTACTTTTTTATCAAAATGAATTTTCTAGATTTTAAGATATAACACATTGCCTAACTCTTAATCCTTAATTATACAAACTATACATATTTGGGGGTGGGGGTAGGGGTGCAACTATGAGTATTTTCATCTTTCAAAAATTCTTCCAAGCCTTTGAAAAAAAAAGAAAAATATTGAAACAGATCAAGAGTAGCTAGGAATGGTCCAAGGCTGGACAGCATCTTAAAAATAAGGCTTTCATCGGCTTTTAGTTTTGAGTGAGATACAGAAAGCTAGTCCTGTTCTCATTTAACCCAAAGAAGCAATAAAAAACAACAGTTCATTGCTCCACCAAGAAACTTCCAATAAAGCCTTTTTGTTCCAAAACATATGGCTAGTATTCTTCTCCTTTAATCTCCCTTATAGATTTATGTTGCTAATATAACAATTCCTCAGCAAGCCCATGCTTCCAATATTAATGAAGTTCTGTGAACCAAAAAATGATAAATACATAGAATTAAAATTTAGCATTATTCAAAGGCACAATTAGGTGTTTAGCAAATTATTCCTCCTTGATTGATAGCCTAAATTTACTCATCTCAAGTATACTAATTTTTTTTTTAATTATAAAATTCACAGATGCATATGGGAAAAAATTCAAATACCACAAATTTGGGAAGAATGAATCAAAAAATAGGTCTCTCCCCACCCCTCAAACCCACTTCCAGATTGGGAAATTTAATAGTGAGTAAACCTCTTGGGCATCCTTTCCTTGCCTTTTTTTTTTTTTTAATGCATGTACATATCACAGAACAGAAAATGACGATTCTTCACCTAGTAAATTAGTTCTTATGAATTACTTATATTTTAATTATTTTATATAAGGATTTCTTTAAATGTAACTTTTGTCCTTCCAACAAAAACAGAATCATAACTATAGAAATTGCACTCTACTTTTTCACTTAACTTTAGTTGTGTTACAACATATAGATAAGACCTACCTCATCCTTTAAAATAATATAGGGATAGTTCTATTTAATCAGTCCCCTGTGAATGCCCATTTAGGCTGTTTCCAGTTTTTATTAAATCAATCAGGGATCATGTTTTCTTTTAAAAATAAAATGGAAATACAGCAAATGGCTTTAGTAATCAAAACAAACTCCGTCCCACAGTAACACATGTTCATTAACTTAAGAACACACACATATACCCAAAGTCAGATACAACCTTAAAATCTGTATAGTTTTTAATCGTATAACATGGCACTATCTTTATTGGGTGTGAAGAGGCAAAATATTTTAATGTTTATTTTACCTGCAATGTATGAAATGTGTTCACTTTATTTTGATTTCTTAGGCAGACTGAGGGGTAAAAAGTCCAAGGTGAAATGTCACCGCCAAGCAAGTTCATCAAACCCAGCTACAGGTGCTGGAGAAGGGTTTGATTTACGTGCATTCATCTGGTGACTTCCATTAGGAAGTCTCTGATGAGGTACCAAGGCAAAAAAGTTAAATCTTTCTCCCATCTTCTTAGAGTTCATTAACATATCATACCCCTGAAGTAACTGCTGCCTTGTAGATGGCTCATCTGAATTATCTAAAAGAACCTAAAAAGAAAAAAAAATTCTTAGCAAAAATGACCAGAAGGATTGCTAGTTATATGTAGCAATACTTATGACTATTAAATACTCCATAAAGCAGTACTCAAAATGGGATTTCTCATCACCTGCACCAGAATCATCTGAGGTGCTTGTTAGAAATGTAGGTTGTTGTGAATTTGCATTTTTAACAAATATCCCCAAGTGGTTTTGCCTACACTGAAGGGTTAAGTGTCCTCAGAAGAATAGTTACAAAAATTCATACACATAAAATAAACATGGCCAAGTTTTCTTAACAAAAATGAAAACTATTTGGAGCCTTAACTCACATGGAGACGCATGAACCGCCAGGCTATCTGGTTATGCTGACTCCTACACTACCCAAAAGCCTGGAACAGCAAGCATCTGGCTAACTACAAGAGCACCAGGGACAGGTAAACGTCACATTTAAAATAATCTAAGTACTATGAAATTAATGATAGTGAAATAAACCATTACCTTCAGCCGGACATCAATACCCATATTTTTTAAAAACATTTGTTGCGTTATCGGACCCAGAGAGGCCACTTTCCCCTGTGTCATTCTGCGCAAATAACTGAAGTCCACGTCAGCTGTTAGGTCAGCTGTTCCTGGAGCAATTAAGACATCATGGAGCTTGTGACCACAAAACCCCTTGAACAGAATTAGAGAAATTAGGAGTTTTTGCCCTTCTATGGTTTCCATCAAGATTAAAGAAATGCTGTTCTAATATATTATACTTAACAATCAACTATGAAACTATGGCTTAAATCAGTGGTTTTCAAACTCAATGCAGTAGCACCCTTTCTTCAAATGAAATGTTATGTGGAAACCCCAATATAAAAGTGCAAGGCTGAAGTGCCTGAAGATGCTGCCCTTGACACAGTTAACTCTGCATCTTCACTTGTGCTCTCAATGACGGATTAGAGGAGATCTCATTAATTCTACAGATGAATTCAGGTAATCAGAACCTATATAGTGTTTTACAAAGTGGTGCTATCGTCCATGTGCATCAGAACCACCAGAAAAAATGTTAGTGGACTCCACCCTGACCTAGTGAATCAGAATCCTAAAGGTGAAGATCAGGGAATCAGCATTTTTAACGAACTCTCCAGGTAGAGTTAAAGGCTAAGAACCACAGATCTAGAAAATGATTAATGGCATCTACTTAAATGTATTTCCATTGAAGTGTATTAAACAAAGCGATCATATTCAAAGAACATTAAGAAAGGATGTTTAGGAAGAGCAACAGAATACATCTGGAGAAGAGAAAAGAATGTAGGATAGGAAAAGTTTGAACGACTTAAACTAGAGTAATTAGATTAAATCTTCAAAGAAGTACCAAAAATTTTAAAATAAAAGGCAGAGGAAAAGAACAAGTTTAAGAATTTTAAGGAAATCTTCCCATTTGTATTATTCAGATGCTTATTAGTGTCTGTGCAAAAATTCAGACCCTGCTGGACAGTGGACTGAAGGTTAGGAAGTAAAACCTAGGGCCAAGATAATTACTGTTGTTGCTGCTGTTGCTGGGTGCCATTGAGTCAGTTTTTCAACTCATAGTGACCCAGTGTGACAGAGCAGAACTGCCCCATAGGATTTTCTAGGCTGTAATCTTTACAGGAGCAGACTGCCAGATCTTTCTTCCGTGTAGCCACTAGGTGAGTTTGAACTGACATTCTTTCAGTTAGCAGCCGAGTGCCTAACCATTGCGCCACCAGGGCTCTTTAAGAGTAATTATAGTAATATAAATTAACATCAATTTTAAAATAATGTAATATAACAATGCTAAGTATTATAGGAACCAAAAATAAAGATCCTGAATAAGCTTAAAATCTAACAATTGATAAGTATATCACGCCACTAAAATTCTGATAAATCATATTAAAGAACTACCCATACTCTGAAGGTATCTGTCTTCGTTCCATCGTGACCGTAATCCGCAATCAGCGCAGCACCTCCAGCCCGTGCAATGCGCTGAGAAAGTTCCTGAATAATAACACCAGCGTCAGGACACACTTCCACGTGATCCCTTGTTTCACCACTCTAGTAAGGCAACAGTGGAAGAAAGAAAGTATATCACTCAAAAGGATTGCACCCTTCAATTTTTTTCTCATCTGTATTTTCTTTGGTTTCTCTACAATGAGCATTTCTTAATTTTAATAAAAATAAATTCCTTCTCAAGATGAATATGTTCTCTAAATTAAATTCTTTATACGGCATCCTTTTTATTGTATAGAACTCCTTGGTTCTTTGATGCCATCCACTCAGTTTACAAAGACTTTTTAATCCCTTTTATATCCCCAGAAGGCCCAACCCCTCAGGAGTCCAAGTGTATTATCTTATTTACAGTGATATACCTTTATGTCATAATTCATATACATACGATATATCCCACTGGATTGTAAGCATGGGAAAAGGGATTTTTGTCTGCCTAGAACAGTGCTTGGAACATAGTAGGCTCTAAAAAAAATGTGCTGAAAGAATGAATGATATAAATCCAGTATAACGAACTATATCCTATCAAACAAGTACAGTACATTATGTAGCCTTTTACTGGGGCACAAAGTATCCTGATATGTGCCCTCTATCTGTAATAGGGAGCCCTAGTGTCACAGTGGTTAAGAGCTCGGCTGTTAACCAAAAGGTTGGCAGTTCAAATCTTATCAGCCACTCCTTGGAAACCCTATGGGGCAGTTCTACTCTGTCCTGTGGGATGGCTATGACTTGGAATCGACTCAATGCCAACAGGTTTGGTTTTTGGTATCTGTAATAGAAACATCACCTTATGAACTAATGTCTGTGACCCTTAATCCCCAAAATGTTCAACTAGTAACTAAGGGTCCACAGTAAGGGCTTATTAGCTTAAAAAGCAAAATGACAATAAATATGAAGACTTGCTAACTTTGCTAGTGCCTACGATATTTCACTAATTCTTCAGATGACTGAAAATTTTGTATTGTTTTTCTTAATTACAAAGCATACATTAACTTTTGCTCTCCTAATACCCCACTGAAAATGAAGTACTGAACTGCCCTGATGCGTCTGCCTACTGGCAGACAAGTTACTTAACCTCTCTGTTTCCTCATCATCCACATACAGCAATAGGTTTGTTGTGAGGATTAAATCAAATAATGAACCATGTAGCCCAGAACTAGTAAATAAATTACTGTAGTCTAATTTAAACACCATGAGGGCAGCTTCTTCAAGCATAAGCTGACACAGCTTACCATGCTGACATCCTTACCCTCTCAGACTCCTGTTCAAGAAGACAGAGGGGAAAGTCGTCACCCCTTCCCTCTTACGTGATTATTAATCAAGCCAAAAACTAAACAGAAACACAACTCCCAGGGTGAGGGGGTTAGCTGTCGGTAGCTTTATGAATTTGTTTCTCACTCAGGTAAAATTAGTAGCCAGAATATGAAGTAAACAGAAATGTTCACAAGTGTTTAAGCTGATATTCTCACTTACATATACTTTGCAACAACAACAACAAAAAACCATTCATAGATTTAGTTTTAAAAGCTATTATACTTTTCAAATTAATCATTAACTTCTGAGACAGGAAGTTCTTAATTAAGGTCCAGAAAGTGGAAATCTTTTCCCTGAGCTGGAAAAAGGAGTAAAAAGAGGCAATCAGAGTCCAGATCAGTAGGCTCTTGTGATTACTCCTTGCAGTCAGCAGAAAGCGGCTGTAAAGCTACCATTCGTCAGATTAGAGCTGGGTGGAAGTGTGGGGAAAACCACGCTCCAGCAGCAGCCCACAGAGAATGCTAACAGAACTTAGCTAATAGGGTTGTTCTGAGGAACAAGTGAGGAAATACAGAGTAATACACAGTACTACAGTACAGAATACAATACAGAAAATACACAGTGTTCAACAAATGTGAGGTGTTATTACTGTTGCGGCTACCACACTACGCTGCACTACACTGCTTTCACAGACATCAAACTCTTCCAGTAAAGGAGACGATATTGTCACCATCTTAAAAGGTAAGCAGAGAGGGTAAGGGACTTGCTGAGTAAGCACGCACTTTTAACATTCTCATTGCTTAATGTCACACAGCTAAGAAATGCAAGCGTGGATCGTGGATCATAACTTAGTCTGCTGCCACTAGAGTCTCTGTCCTTTTCACCATTAATAAGAGGCACATCACATTGAGAGCAACTCTTTTCTTTCGTAAATGAAGTCTAAAAGAGTAACTCAGTAAATAAGACTTCGAAGATTCTGTTTGCAATAAAAGACAGAAGAAAAAAGAAAAACCATTATTCCTACCCATATGAAGGCTTCTGCTGGGGTGGCACAAGGTGCCAAAACAAACCGCAGTTTATCAGAAGCTTGCGGATCAATATCAATGAATACTTCTCGCCATCCTTGTGGTGTTTTCTAAACACAAAATAACACATAAACACAAATTTTTGCTAATTTGCTCTCAAAATTGCCTCCACCAAAAATAATTATTAGTTTTCTTACCATAAATAACATAGATAAGTAACACTTACAGAGCACTTTACTACTAAAAATTATTTAGGAGCATTAATTCATTTCCTTTGAATGAGATGAGTGAATCATTAAATGTAAACTACTAATACTGTAAGTGAAAAGCAATAACCAAGATGGAGCTATAGAAGTGAGAAAATCAACAGCATGGAAAGTGTCCAAAAAATAGAAAACAAACTCCGGAGGAATAATCAGAAGCTTTTGACAACAAACTGCTACATAATAACAACTGATCTTAGCATTAAAAGAGTACACATACATTACCACCAAATCCTAACTCTCCCCGAGGAAAGAATGAAAAAAAAGGTTAATCTTTGGAATTTAAAAAGTTTGCAGAATCATACATCGCACTGTACCATTTACCATCTCAAATTCTCACTGTTATCCCACAAAAATTCTCCTTAATATTCATTTTTGCTTGTGAATTATTTATATTCATCAAAATTCCAAATACAGTTAAGAATAACGTCTAAAAGTAACGTTCTTTAAATACCAGTTCAATTAAATGCTGTAAGTGTTCATTCTTACAACCTAAGGCCCCTGTTACTCATTTATAACCTTGACTTTTTTCCCCATCAATACCTGAAACTTATGCACAGGAAGAACATCAAAAAATTCATGTGCAAGATAAAAGCTGTATCCTATTGAAAAACAGAAGAAAAAAATTAATATTTTGGTATATTTAAAGCAATTAATTGCTTCTTTTGAACATTAACTGGGAGAAAGAAAATGCCTAGTTCTTCAATATTGGAACCTGTGATAGTTCCATAAGCATCAGTACCACAGAATCAGCCAGACCACTTCGTGGAAAACCTACTCTGCAGAACATATGAAAGAAACAAATACTACTCTTCTCGTTTTCCATATAACAGGGTCAGAGAACCCAAATATCTGGATTATCAGTTTAATTCAGTTTGTTAGAGCTGGAAGGGAATTTGGATTTCATAAAATCAACAGGGAAGGTGGAGGCCAGGAACGGCTTAAATGCCTTGCCTGGGAAGCACCACCACTTTAGGGCTGAGCTGGGACTCATCAGCATGAGATTCCTGGCTTGTTCAGGGATTTTACCACCACATCTTGTTTCTTTTTAGGCAAGTAAGAATTTTCAAAAGCTCAAGTAATTTAACTAAAGCAATCTAATAACACTCGTTCCCTCAACCCTACTGCCTCGGGACTGCTTCCTATCAGTGCTAACTTAGCTGTAGGCAAAAACTAAAAAGTACAACAGATTTACATATTGTTTTTTGTTTTTTGCAAAACTACATGAAATACATTGCTCCTCAATGTTAGGCAACTTTATTTTCTAATACAATGCTCTTCGCTAGAAAAAAGCTATAGGTAAAGGACCTGGCAGCAATAATCACGTTACTGTAAGATCTTCTCACCTGTCACTACTGTGACGGGTTGTGATCAAAATTCTTTCCTTCAGTAATGCAAAATAATTACCTTTTGGAACATCTTGTATATCTCGATACCAGGAAATTGGTAACCCAGACTTAGTTACGCCTTTCATATACACCAGAGATCCAGCATTTCGCTCCAACGGGACATTCTCTTCAATCAGTGTTACTGCTTGGATCTCACTTAACTTTTGGCTCACCTCTACAAGATGGACAGAAATGTCACTGTTTTTCAGCACAGATCCAAGCTGGCTGAACACCTAAATACAGAAAGAAGAAAAAAACTATCAGCAAACTAACGTGTTGAGTAATTTTTAAGGTTTCTAATCAGTTACCACAACAATTTGCTCATATCACAGTAGAATATTTGGTTTCAGAGAGATGTATTTTTCACACAAGCCCCTCAATAGCAGTTTCTGAGAATCATAACCTGTTAGACTTATTAAGTATTACCTAGGTAAGAAATGAACCGTGCACAAATTAGGATTCTAATGAGGACAATTAGAATTATAATTAACAAATAAAAATTTTACAATTAGCATCCAATAAAAATAATGATTCAGATTACAGAATCTAAAAAAGTACAAGGAAACATATATTGCCTTGATTTTATAAAGCCCCTGTGTTTATGAAATAACCTCCTCTTTGAGATGATTAAACTGTATCCACAGGAAATCAAAGTTGAATGGCACGAATAACTTGCCCCACCACTCGTCTGTCAAGTTTGTCATACTGTGGTGGCTTGTGTGTTGCTGTGATGCTGAAAGCTATGCCACCAGTATTTCAAATGTCAGCAGGGTCAACCATGGTGGACAGGTTTCAGTGGAGCTTCCAGACTAAAACAGACTGGGAAGGAGGGACCTGGCAATCTACTTCTGAAAAAACTGGCCAGTAAAAACCTTATGAAAAGCAGCAGAATATTGTCTGATACAATGTGGGAAGATGAGCCCCTCAGGCTGGAAGGCATTCAAAATACAACTGAGCTGCTTCCTCAAAGTAGAGTTGACCTTAAGGATGTGGATGGAAGAAAGCTTTTGGGACCTTTATTTGCTGATGTGGGACGACTCAAAATGAGAAGCAACAGCTGCAAACATCCATTAATAATCAGAATGAGAAATGCACAAAGTTATGAATCTAGGAAAACTGGAAGTTGTCAAAAATGAATTGGAACACTTGAAGATTTATATCTTAGGCATTAGTAAGCTGAAATGGACAGGTATCAGCCATTGTGAATCAGAAAAGCATACGGTCTACTATGCAAGGAAGGACAAATTGAAGAGGAATGGTGTCACATTCATCATCAAAAACATTTTAAGGTCTATCCTGAAGTACATATAACACTGTCAGTTATAGAATAATATCCATACACCTACAAGGAAGACCAGTTAATACGACTATTATTCAAATTTATGTACCAAGCACGAAGGCCAAAGATGAAGGAATTGAAGATTTTTACAAATTTCTGCAGTCTAAAATTGATCAAATATGCAATCAAGATGAATTGATAACTACTGGTGATTGGAATGTGACAGCTGGAAACAAAGAAGGATCAGTAGTTGGAAAATAGGCCTTGGTGACAGACATGACTCCGGAGACTGCATGATAGAATTTTGCAAGACCAACGATCTATCCATTTTAAATACCTTTGATCAACAACATAAACAACCACTATATACATGGACCCTGCAGGATGGAATATACAGTAATCAAATCAACTATACCTGTGGAAAGAGATGATGGAGAAGCTCAATAAGAACAAGAAGCTCAGTCAGAACAAGGCCAGGGGCCAACTGCAATTGCTCATATGCAAGCTGAAGCTGAAGAAAATTAAAACAAGTCTGCAAAAGC